AGAAATGAAACCCACCGTGGATTGTGTTTTTTTCTGAGATTCCTCGGTGATAGGAGGAATGGTCATTTTTGGACCTAACAAAAACATCACTGACCTTGGATTGGTCACTTCCCTTTTCTTTTTTTTGGTACCAGGGATCGAACTCGGGTCCTTGCGCTTCCAGGGGCAGGCGCCGTGGTTACTTCCCATTTGAGGTTTTTTTTCCTCTAGAGACATTTTCTGGCTTTTGATTCAGGATTCAGGACACATAGACCCATCAGAACTCGTCAGACCCACAAACCACTGCAGATTTGGATCAGTGCAAACCGGGTGCCTTTCCAAGTGCTGTTTGAGGTTCAGTGGAAAAAGAATACAGAAGTCAGTGAGAGATGAGAGAACATAATCATAGGCTAAAATGAAAAGGAAAGGACACTTCTCAGTAGAGCCACTAGGCTCATGTGCCCTCCAGTGTCTTCTGTGGATTGTCTGGGTTAGGGTGTGGCACAGGACATTGATCCCTCGGAGACCATGAAGCAGTGTCTGCAAAATGGAAAACCATGCCAGGTGCAGCAAGAGAGACAGGAGGATCCGAGTTTTAGCCCAGCCTGGGCAGCTTTACGAGCCCTTGTCTCAGGATAAAGAGCACCAGGGGCTGGGATAGTGCTCAGTGTGGAGGCCTGGGCTCAGCCCCCAGGACCACAGAAAGCAGGCCTTGAAGTGTGCTTCTAGAGCTTTCTAGTGTTGACCTAACAGCCCCCTTCTGAAGAGATGGTGCTTTGAGAAACACATGGAAGCGTAAAGAAAGACTGCGTCTCAGGACCCAGCACACTATGGTTTGCTCTAGGCCACTAGCAGAGAGGCCAGAGTTTTCAAGCCAGTGGTCCTTATGTTGCCGTGGCAGCCATCTGGGGACCATTCTACATAGTACAGAACTGGATCATCTGGTTGGTCTTGCGAGGACTGAGCACGTTTGCTAAATTTGATGTCCTCGCCCCTCTGGTGCTTGGAGAGGAGACTGCTAGGCCCCTAATCACAGTCTCATTGACTGGTCCTGTCTGCTCAGGAGAGCTATGTGTGTCTGGGCAGCGGTGACCTGCAGCAGCCCTTTCGGGAGTGCGTTGCAGGCGGGCCAGGCGTCCTCCAACATGCTGCAGCTGTTTTTCACTGTGGCACAGACCCCAGCACAGACGGAGATGAGTCTGCCTTGCTGCGGTTCCTCCCTTCCCACTTGATTTGCCTAGTGTGTATAGTCGGCACAGCGGCACCCTGTGGTTCGGACAGTGTGGAATCGGGCTGTGTGTTCTGTTGCGGTCCAAGAGGTTAATGGGGTCTAAACAGCAGTACAGGTTTGTGAGTGACTGGTGTGGAGCGAGCTATGTATGAGCTGGCGTGCGCAGTACTCAAGAGCCCAAACCGAGGCCATGGCACACCCACTAGGGTGGGCCAGCTCAGTGGTAAGTGCAAGTTTTGCATGGTTGCATGCACGAAGCCTCCGGTTCAATCCCCGGACCCCGCCCCCCGGAACCCACAAGTGACAGGATTTGGAGCAGTTGGACCCCTTTTATCCTGCTGAGTTAGAATGGGGCAGTCCTTCTCAAAAGTGGCTTGACATTCCTCCAAACAGTAGATAAAACAGTGGCACAGCCTTTAATCCCAGCACTTTGGGAGGCTGAGGCAGGAGGATCACAAGTTGAAGCCGCCCGCCTGGGCAACTTAGCAACTTTAATGAGACATTGTTTCAAAAAGGTTTTTTAAAGGGGCTGGGAAGGTAGTTCAGTGGAAAGTACTCGGTCAGTCAATCAGAATTTACTTCTTAGGTGCAGATTCCCTGCGATGAGTGTTAGCATTATATATGCCCCAAATGTACCAATAAATGTTTTCCATAAAAAATTTACTTAGGCCAGTAGTATAGCTCCGTGATAAAATGCATGCTTGGCCTGTGCAGGGGTCTGGGTTTGATCACAGCACCCTCTCCCCTAAAAGTCACTTTGTGATAGAGAGTTAAGCTTCCGGTCAGTATTTTTCTTGTCATTGCCCCCAATTCTGTCTAGAAATAAGGGGTTTAAAAATTTAGGTGGGCCGGGGATTTAGCTCAGTGGTTTCGCTGCCTGCTGCGCAAGTGCAAGGACCCGAGTTCGATCCCCAGTACCAAAAAAAAAATTTAGGCTTTTTGTTTCTCTAAACGAGAAACTTCCCTACCATCCGAGTACTAGCTGGAAGACTATTATTATATAGCTTGAGTATGTTCTATTAGAGATGTGAGAATACTTCATATGAACCTTCCCTACAAGAGTAAAAAGCTTGGGTAAAAAGCAAAGATTGAAAAAAAAATCAGAGATTCAGTATTTAAGCAGAATCCCCGGACATTTCCCAGAACCCTTCTGTAGACCAGCACCCTCCACGCACTGTGGGGCTGATGAGCACAGGGGAGGCGGGGCTGGGCGGAGACCTGGCCGGCATCCCGTCGCCCTGACGTGTCCGCTGGTGGTGCGCTGGCTGCTCTGTGTGCGTGGAGACAGCTGCAGCCCCCGGGCTTACCTGGCTGGCCATGAGTGGGCACCAAGGGCTCTGTCCCAAGCTCTGCTCACCGTGCCTGCTGAAAGGCGGGAGTGACTACTAACACGTGAGGTGGCCATCACTGAAGGAGAGATGTGGCAGGTGTAATGGTGCTGACGGTGCTGACAGTGTCAGAACAGTAGCCCCAGCTCAGGAGCAGCAGTTTGACCTCCTCAAGAGGCTTGGAGTTGGCTACAGGAAGATTGGAGCTTTAGCACTGCATCTTAGCGTTTCTGCGTCACTGGCGGGTCACTGGCGGGCCTGAGGGGCGGACTGGCTTGAGAGGCAGTGTGCTCTCAGGGGTAGGACCAGGAGCCGGAGCTGACCACCCGGGGAGTCCTGGCTCCTGGCTGAGGTCTGCCTTTGCCCCTGTGGCAAGAGGGAGTGAAAGTGGGAGGTCTCAAGGCCCTGTGGTCATGGCCTCCTCTGCTTCGAGGACAGACCAGACCAGGTGGCTGTGGAATGATCGGGAAGCCTCACCTGTTTGACTCACCTGGAGGCTCCAGACTTGAAGAGAGTCATTGCTCTTTTGGACGGCGGTCTAGAGTTCAGTAAAAGCCTCCTCCAGAAGGTGAGAGGATTCTGCTGAGGAGGAGGGAAATGATGGCATGGGGCACTTTACAGCCTTATGAGCTAGCCAGGGAAAAGATGAGAGATTTGAGGAAAACTGTTCAAATTTTTCGTTTGGGTTTTTTTTTTTTTTCTGGTACCGGGGATCGAACTCGGGACCTTGTGCTTGTGAGGCAGGCGCTGGAACCACTGAGCTAAATCCCCAGCCCCAAAACTATTTAAATTTTAAGTTAAAATTTAAATTCTGTTTAAAATTTAGGTAGAAAACTAAGTTTTAGGCTGGGCTTGGGCCGGAGATTTAGCTCAGTCACACTATCCCTGCCTCTCAACTCAAGGTCCTGAGTTCGATCTCCAGTACCAAAAAAAGAGAAAGAAACAACTAGGCATGTAGCCCAGAATAATGTGTGCTAGGCCCTTTCTCTGCTCTGTTCCCCTCAGGAAGAGGAACATGGAGGTCGTTGTCTTAGAACAGTTGGTCCTCGATCCTGATGTGGTGTTGTAGTTTGCCAGGTGTTGGTTATGAACTTCCCCAGAATGAGGGTAAATGAAAGCGAGGCCAACTGCTGGGAGCGACGAGAGCTCTCTCGCAGCAGCCGCTCGCTTGTCTGGGGTTGCCGTGTGGCCACGCACACGCGTGCATACTGCTGTGTCCGCAACTGCTCGTTAGTAGTTTGCCGATTCTCTACGAGTGTGTGTAGTAATGCTTGCTTTATTTTTTTCTCTTCCATTCCTGTTTTATTTTTTCCTTTTTTTTTCTTGTGATTTGACATTTTCAGCTGATGTATTGAAAGCAAATCCTTCTAATTTGGGAGACCAGATCACAAGAGTGAGTTTTCTGCTGGTGTCTGTAGCTGTATCTCCTTTGTGTACGTCTCCCCCACCCCTCATTTGAAATGATTCAAAGCACATTTCATGGACACTGGGTTAGCAGATTCCTTTGTCTGTTGAACATCACACCTTTCCACAAAGCAATGTCCACTTTATATTGGGTCAGATTACCTAATGCTGTTGTAAAGGTGTAGGCTCATGTATGTTTTTGTTTCTTAATATTGCAGCGTGCCAAAATACTTTTAGTTCTGTCGTCATTGCAGATAGATCTGTCTGGACTCTATCACCAGTGTGTTGCAACACTGTTCCTTTTTGGCTGTTGTTTCTTTTGTTTTAAGGAAAAATTATACAGTACCTTCTGAAAATGAGAGCGTCATTCTATTTTCTGGATTCTAAGTAATAAGATCTGACTGATGGGTTCTCCCCTGGTCCCCTGGCTATAGCTCTTGGGGCGTGATGGAATGAAAAGCTCTCCCTGTGCTCTGATTGCAGCCAGCTGGCCTGGTTGGGCTGCGCAGCACTGAGGCACTAGCACTGGAAACCTGTGTGGTCATCTAGTCGGGCAGGAAACCTGCTCCTGCTGAGAGGGTGACGCCTGTTCCGGCAGAGCCAGAGTGTGCTTCCCACTGCTTCCGATTCCAGTAACCTCCCCGTGTAAGCTGTACATTGCTTTTGAAGATCTCACACCTTGGGTAACTTCTGTGCCGGTTTAACCCTTTCTGTTCTCTTTGGCCTGTGTCACAACAATTTATCCGTTCTGTTTTTGTCTAGTTTCGTATCCTTGAAGAGCAAGTGATTGGATAGTCCCTTTTCTTTCCTCCCAGTTCTAAAATTTGTTTGTTGCTTCTGAAATCATTTTATTTTGCCCAGTAAAGAAAATGATGCTCTGTCCTAAGTAGAAGTGCAGGCCCTGCAAGTGTGTGCAAGGTGATGGGCACTGTGCTCGGTCCCCACCCTGCGCTGCACCGGGACCATTGGCTGAGGGCCTGTGCAGGCCCCCAAGGCCCGGCCTTCGGGTCCCCACCTGACTCCCCTCACTCACCCGCTGTTCTTTCTTTCTCATCCAGAGACTAAAAGATCTCAAGCAGAGGGAATTTGCCCGAAATGTCTCTTCAAGGTCCCGCAAGGATGAGAAGAAACAAGAAAAAGCCCTGCGGAGGCTCCATGAGTTGGCAGAGCTAAGAAAACAAGCAGAATGGTGAGGGAGTCTCCTCTCAGTGCTGCATGGATGGCTCCAGTCCCCAAGACTGACAGTGCGATGTGTAGTGGGTCCTCCTGTGCACTGGAAGTGTGTGGCGCACTGTGCAGACCTGCAGGCGAGAGCTCTTGGGGCACATGTGGAAGCGTGTGCAGAGTCCTCTGGTCCCTCCCAAAGCACAGTGGGCTGCTCGGGAGCTGAGGTGCACTGGGGTCCATATTCTGGCTGCTGCGGTACTCAGTGCTCCCCAGTGGCAGAAGGGCAGCCATTGCTTTTCTTTAGGTTCCTGCCCTCTTGAGTGTCCTTTTTAGTTCTTTCATGATTCTTGTGATTATCCACTTTCTGGCTGGTATTTAGCCTTAAGAGCACTGTACCTTACCTAGGATTGTGCTTCCAAACAGGTAGACTACGGGGCCTGGTTTTCGAGCATTGAAGCTGCCATCAGCTGCAAGAGTGCTGGGCCTGAGTAAGGAAGAATTTGGGCTCCTCGTTTGTTTTTAGTGGCTGTGCCAGGACCAAGAGAAGGATCTGGTTCCAGAGAAACAGAAACTGGTTTTGGCTTTTAAAACTTTATGGCTCAGTGTAAAGTGTTTGCCTAGCATGCTCAGGGCCCGCCCTGGGTTCTGTCTCCAAAACCAGGAAAAATAAAAAATTTTAAAAGGGCAATTTTGGACCAAGTTGAGGTCAGAGTTCCCAAGTTTCTTGGACTTAACTAATTCTTATTGTTTTGTTTTAGGGGTGCTGGGGATTGAACCCAGGGCCTTCACACAGTGCCAGGTGCCCAGCCCTTTCTTTATTTTTTATTTCAAAACAGGGTCCCTCAAGTCACTGACTTGCCAAGCCTGGCCTTGGACACGCAGCCATCCTCTCAGCCTCCCTAGTGCCGGCACCATGGGGTACCCCCTGTGCCCTGTGGGGACTCATGTAGTAAGCGCCCAGCCTTCTTGGGCCACACACAGTTTCTTCAGAGGTGACTTTCAGTTCTGTTCCTTTTTTGTTTGTTTTTTTGTTTTTGTACCAGGGATCGAACTCAGGACCTCACACCTGAGAGGCAGGCGCAGTGCAATTGAGTTAAATCCCCAGCCCTCAGTTCTGCTTTATAAACATCAGTTCAGCTATGACCAGGCAGAGCTGAAGTGCACTCAGTGATAGAGTGCTAGGCTGCCATGTACAAGGCCCTGGGTGTGATCCCCAGAACTGCAAAAGAAACGATGACCAAATAACCTCAGGAGAATAAAAGGTTTTGATCCATCACCAAGTATTTTCTTTTTTGGCAGGCGGGGTGGGGGGTGGGGGTGCCAGGGATCAAACTCGGGTCCTTGTGCTTGCGCAGCAGGTGGAGAAACCACTGAGCTAAATCCCTGGCCCCTACCAAGTATTTCTTTATCCTAGAAGTAATGTATGACTCCATGTTATAGAAATAATAAACAAAGGATCAAAATGAGTCTTTTTTAATTCAATTCAATGGTTTTGTTTTGGCCAGGGATATAGCTCAGCGGCACAGTGCCTGCCTGGCAAGCGCAAAGCCCTGAGTTCAATTCCCTGTACCAAAAAAGAAAAAAAAAAAGTTTTGTTTTGGCTGGTTGTGATCTGTAATCCAAGCTATTTGGAAAGCCAAGGCAGGAGAATCACAAATTTAAGCCCAGGGTGTGCAGTTTAACAAAACCCTGTCTCACCAGGTGTGATAACACACCTATAATCCCAGCACTCAAGAGGCTGAGGCAGGAGGATCACCATGCGTTCAACTGAGCCTAGGCTACACAGTGAGTTCAAGGCCAGCCTAAACTAGTAGCAAGACCTTGTCTCAAAAAAATTAAAAGAGGGCCAGGGATTTAGCTTAGTGGCGCCAAGCCTGCCTTGCAAGCACAGGGTCCTGAGTTCGCCTGCCTTACAAGCACAAGGTCCTGAGTTCGATCCCTGGTACCAAAAAAAAAAAAGGCAGGAATGTAGGTCAGTATGAAGGCCCTGGGTCAATGTCCAGTACAGCCCCCCACCCAATAAAAGGGGGAACAGTGTTTTCTGTGGGGTAGGCTGCATAGTGCAGTGTTAGTTATCTCTGGCTATCCACACTGGTTAGGTGCCCATCATGTAGTAGCAATGGTCCCTACAGTAAGAGACAGTACATTATCTGATTGCTCTTGGCCTCTGACAGGAGGTCCCTCATTAGCTAGGGGTCAGATGACAGACCAGGTCTTTATCTAAATAGATACTTGCAGTTTTTGGTGGTGGTAGGAGGAATTGAACCTATGGCCTTGGACATGCTGTGCAAATCCTCTAAGCTATATCCCCAGCCCTCAGTTTTGTTTTTGTTTTTGAGACAGGATCTCAATAAGTTGCCCAGGCTGAACTTGAACTTGCAGTCCTTCTGCCCTCGGCCCACAAGTAGCTGGAATCATAGGCGTGTGCACCATGCCTGGCTTCTACTTTGTTCTTGAGTTTGGAATTCAGGGCCCCCCCTGTAGTTTATGTACTGGGGACATCTTGGGCGAGCTGAGCAGTTAAAACATAGACATTAAAACACCCCAGTGTTCCTGGTTCCTGTTGCCAAAGAGAGCTTGATAGTACTGTGTCCATTGTTCATTGTGCCCGGAAAAGTACAACAGTTCCTCTGGGTTTCAATTATTGTAGGAAGCTGAGGCCAGAAAATATTAAATGAGATATTCCAGAAATAAAGACTCATTAAGTTGTAAATTGTGTGTTGTTAGGAGTAGTGCAAATTCTGAACCGTCCCACTCTGTCATGCCTGGGAGGTGAATTATCCCTTTGTCCTGCAGATCCATGCTGTGGATGCTGCCTGCCCAGAGGGAGGGAGGGAGGGAGGGAGGGAGATTACATTCACATAACTGTTCCTACAGTACAGTTAGACCTCCCCGACCCGCCCTGGTTCTGCAGTTCTGAGAGTTGAACCCAAGGGAACACCAAGTTACATCCTCAGCCCCTTTTATTTTTTGACAGCATCTTGCTAAGTTGTCCAGGCTGGACTTGAACTTTCAGTCCCCTGTCTCAGCCTCCTGAGAGCTTGGATTCCAAGTGTGCACTACAGTACCCAGCTACAACTATTATATTTTATTATTGTTGATCTTTTTGCCTAAACTGTAAACTTTTTCATAAGTGTATGTATCAAAAAGCACAGTCTATATAGGGTTCCATACCATCTGTGATTTCCGGCAACCCTTGGGGATCCTGAAACTTCTCCTGTGGATAAAGAGGACCATCCTGTCTCAGAACTAAAGTCAGTGTTTGGGGTTGTTCCCCAGGAACGGGCACAGACCTGGACACTGACTGCAGAGTACCACAGAATAGCACAGTAGAAGTTTCTGGAATGTCTGTGTTTAATTCAGAATATATATGGGCTGGCGGAGGGGGGGGGTTGGTACCGGGAATCAAACTCAGGACCTTGTGCTTGCAAGGCAAGCGAGGTGCCACTGAGCTACATCCCCAGTCCCAGAACATACGTTTTTTACAAATTACATTTACCCAGGTGTGGTTGGCGTATGCCTGTAATTCAAGCACTTGGGAAGCTGAGGCAGGAAGATCATCACAAGTTCAACACCAACCTGGGCTTTAGTGAGACCCTGTCTCAAAACAACCAAAAAAGAAAAGAATAAAGATGAAAATGAGGGCTGGGGATTTAGCTCAGTGGTTTCATTGCCTGCTGTGCAAGCACAAGGACCCCAATTCGATCCCTGGTACCAAAAAAAAAAAAAGATGAAAATGAAATTTGACAGCACATGGGAATCTCCTTCGGGAACGAAGTAGATAGACCTGTGTTAGTAGATGTGCAGCCGCACATTTGACAACACACTTGTCAGGGCAAGGTGCCTACAGGAGGAGCAGCAGAAAGAGGTGGAGCTGTACGGGACCAGGAGTGGGAGCTGGGCCCAACTCCCTAGCACAGGCAGTTGAAGCAGCAGCCAGGGAGACGGTGACCCTGGGCACGCCAGGTTCCCAGAGGGACATGCTGCCCTGCAGAGTCCCTGCTGTGGTGGGTGGAGCAGACGGGTGGCGAGGATGTGCACCTGCTGTGCTTTCTGTGCCCCTAAACCTGTTTGCTGTCTTTTCTGAACCACTGCACAGCGCACCCGGAAGTGGCCCTATGTTCCGACCAACCACGGTTGCTGTGGATGAAGATGGAGGAGATGAGGACAAGGATGAATCGGCTACCAACAGCGCCTCGGGGGCCGCCGCAGGGTGCAGCCTGGGCCCCGAGTTCTCCACGGAGAAAGGAGGCCCCTTCACCACCGTTGCAGGCACTGGCTCCACTGGGCTGCCGCAGGCTTCCGGGCCGGCCGCCCCCAGCGTCAGCTTTGGTTTCAAGAACAACCAGGGGACCCCACTGCAGAAACTGGGGGTGTCGTTTTCCTTCGCCAAGAAGGCTCCGGTCAAACTTGAGTCCATCGCTTCGGTGTTCAAGGACCACGCAGAGGAAGGGTCCTCCGAGGAAGGGACAAAGCCCGACGAGAAGGGTTCTGACCAAGGGCTGCAGAAGGCAGGGGACGCCGACGGGGGCGGGAGCACCGATGGCAAAAAGGAAGACGAGGACCCGCAGGACGGCGCAGCCCTGGCCTCCACGCTGTCCAAGCTGAAGCGGATGCGCCGGGAGGAGGGCGCCGGCGTGGTGGAGCCCGAGTATTACCACTACATCCCACCTGCGCACTGCAAGGTGAAGCCCCACTTCCCCTTCCTGCTCTTCATGCGGGCCAGCGAGCAGATGGAGGGTGAGGCCAGCTCGCACCCCAAGGGCACCCCGGACAGCAAGAAGAGCGGCTCCCCCAAGCCAAAGGGCTGTGTCAGGGCAGCCCCCAGCCAGGCAGCAGAGCCGGGGGCCAGCGAGCGCTTGGAGCCACCCAAGGAACCAAAGGAAACGAAAGAGGCAACAGCAGTGGCTGGGGCCGAGCCCGCCCAGCCGCGGGGCAAAGCCGAGGCCCGGAAGGTCCCCTCGGGGTTCCCTGGGGAGCAGGGCCGGCCCGTGTCTGAGGCGCAGGTGCGCCAGCCCGAGCCTGCCAAAGAGCCCAGTGCGCCTGGAGACAGTGTGGCAGGGAGAGACAGCCAGGGGCGTCCCCGGCACCCTACGGGCCCTTTCTTCCCAGTGCTGAGCAAGGACGAGAGCACGGCCCTGCAGTGGCCGTCGGAGCTGCTTATCTTCACCAAGGCGCAGCCCTCCGTCTCCTACAGCTGCAACCCTCTCTACTTCGACTTCAAGCTTTCCAGGAACAAGGACGCCAGAGCCAAAGGGGCAGAAAGAGCGAAGGACGCGGGCGGCCCCTCCAGGGAGGCCCTCCCCGGCCCTGAGGCCAGCGGGCCAGGCGGGGACAAGGACGCGGGTGAGCCCCAGGCAGACGGAGGGCCCCCTGCTGCTGCTGCTGCTCCTCTTGCTCCTGCTCGGGAGCCGGAGCCCGAGCCCCAGGACACCGGGCAGAGCCTGGCTGGCCGAAAGGAGCGCCGCGGGCGGACGCACCGGCACAAGAAAAGGAAGAAGCACAAGAAGTCTGGCAGGCACAAGCGCAGGCACAAGGCCGACGCTGACGAGAAGGGATCGGGATCGAGGGCCGACCCGGGGGACAAGTCCCGGAAGCGCAAGAAGCGGAAGCGCAAGAAGAAGTCCGGGGGCGCGGCCGACTCAGAGCGGGGCCCCAAGCCCGAGCCCCCAGGCAGCGGCAGCCCCGCCCCACCCAGGCGGCTCCGGAGGCATGACGAGTCCCAGCGGAGACCCCTGCCCGCCGCCGACGAGAGCGGCGGCGGCCAGCGTGACGCGGGCGGGGGCGCACAGGAGCGTGGCGGGCGCAGGCAACCGGGCGAGCCCCCCGCTACCTCCTGCCAGCGCCGGGCCAGCGCCCCAAGGACCGGCAACACCCACCGCCACGGCCGGCCCAGCAGCGGGGAGGAGGACAGCGACGGCGGTGCTGCCCGCCGCCCGCGCCAGGAGTCCCCGGCCCAGTACAGCGACGAAGACGACGACGACGAGGAGGAGGAGGACTCGGGCAGCGCACGCTCCCGAAGCCGCTCGCGCAGCCGCCGCCGCTCCTCCCGCCGCTCTTACTCCAGCAGCTCGGCTGCGTCCTCCGACCAGAGCTGCTACAGCAGGCCCCGCAGCTACTCCGACGACAGCTACAGCGACTACAGCGAGCGCTCGCGCCGGCACTCCAAGCGCTCCCACGGCTCCGACGACTCGGACTACGCCAGCCCCAAGCGCCGCAAGTACTCCTCCTCCGAAGACGATGACTACAGCCTCAGCGGCAGCCCTTCCCGCAGCCGCTCCCGCAGCCGGTCCAGGGAGCGCTCTCCCACCCGCTCGCGCAGCAGCAGCCACAGCCGGAGCCAGCGGAGGAGCCGCAGCACCACCGCGCACAGCTGGCAGCGCAGCCGCAGCTACAGCCGGGACCGAAGCCGCAGCACTCGCAGCCCTTCCCAGAGGTCGGGCTCCAGGAAGGGGTCGTGGGGCCACGACAGCCCTGAGAACAGGCGATCCAGCCGCCGGGACTTCATTCGCTCCAAGATCTATCGCTCTCAGTCCCCCCACTATTTCTGGTCAGGCCGGGGCGACTGTCCAGGGAAGAAAGACGACAGCCAAGGAGATGACAGCAAAGCATCAGGCCCGCCCTCCCAGAACAGCAGCACTGGCACGGGGAGAGGGTCAGAAAGTGACTGCGGCCCCGAGGATAAGAACTCTGTCACTGCTAGACTGCTGCTGGAGAAGGTCCAGTCCAGGAAAGGGGAGCGGAAGCCCAGCATGGGCGAGGAGGTGCTGGCCACCCCCAATAAGGCTGGGCTCAAGCTCAAGGACCCCCCACAAGGCTACTTTGGGCCCAAGCTCCCCCCTTCCCTGGGCAGCAAGCCGGTCCTTCCGTTGATAGGGAAGCTCCCAACTACCCGAAAGCCCAACAGGAAATGTGAGGAGTCTGGGGTAGAAAAGGGGGAAGAGCAAGACCAGTCAGAGACAGAAGAGGGGCCCCCCGGGAGTGGATGCCAGGTCCCTGCCGAGGATACCGCTGGCCCCTTATCTGAGCTGCCCCCGGGAGAACCAACATCCAAAGAAGCTACTGCCGCCTACCCTGTGGCTCCACTGGGCGCCCCGGCGCACTCCGACTGCTACCCTGGGGACCCAGCCAGCTCCCATAGCTACCTCCCTGACCCCAGCAATGGGGACACCCTGGAGCCCCCGGAGAGCGGCAGCCAGCCAGGCCCCGTGGACGCTGGCTTGCTGCCCGCAGCCCCTGACCTGGAGCACTTCCCAGGCTACGCACCTCCCAGCAGGGAGCCCCGCGGCGAGTCCCCCGAGGGCGCGGAGGACGCCTCGCTGGCCCCCCTGGAGAGCCAGCCCATCACCTTCACGCCCGAGGAGATGGAGAAGTACAGCAAGCTCCAGCAGGCGGCGCAGCAGCACATCCAGCAGCAGCTGCTGGCCAAGCAAGCGAAGGCCTTCCCCGCCTCGGCCGCCCTGGCCCCGGCCGCCCCCGCCCTGCAGCCCATCCACATCCAGCAGCCGGCCGCGGCCTCGGCCACCTCCATCACCACGGTGCAGCACGCCATCCTGCAGCACCACGCGGCCGCCGCCGCCGCCGCCGCCATTGGCATCCACCCCCACGCCCACCCGCAGCCCCTGGCGCAGGTGCACCACATCCCCCAGCCCCACCTGACGCCCATCTCCCTGTCGCACCTCACTCACTCCATCATCCCCGGCCACCCCGCCACCTTCCTGGCCAGTCACCCCATCCACATCATCCCCGCCTCCGCCATCCACCCCGGGCCCTTCACCTTCCACCCTGTCCCACACGCTGCCCTCTACCCCACCCTGCTGGCCCCTCGGCCTGCTGCAGCAGCTGCCACGGCCCTGCACCTCCACCCACTGCTTCACCCCATCTTCTCAGGGCAGGAGCTGCAGCACCCGCCCAGCCATGGCACGTGAGTGGGGTGTGGGAGTCTCCCCGGCCAGGGCAGGCACCCCGCCATTCTCCCCTCGGGGTGTGGAGCCGAGAGTGCCAGCCGGCGCGCACTGGGCGTGTAGTGTCCAGTGTCTGGGAGCCAAAGAGCCAAGCTTTGGCTTGCAGGGATGGGCTGGGAGTGAGGCTGGCTTTGGGTTTACTATCAGGGATCCCCTTCCTCCTCCTGCTGTCCTCCTCCCCTGTGTCTCTGGGCTAGGGCGCTCCTGCCAGTGCTGCCCGCACCTCCAGGTGGTCACCTCCACATGGTCCCCTCTTGCCTCTATTTTTTATCATGCGCTCCTCCTCTCTTCTGGCCTCGAGAAACTCTCCTCGTGTCCGGCCCCCGGAAGGTCCTGCGCCATCCACTCCTGCATTCCTGGTGCCGTGCTGCTCCCATTCCGCAGCCTGTGGGCGGTGTCTTCCCTGTCCCTCAGTGATACGATGCCCAGGTGAGCTGGGAAGGAAACCTGACCCGGAACCAGATGTGACCCAGTCCCTCGTCCAGAAGAGGCCTCCGCACAGCCCCGGGAGATAGTCCTCCTGCCCGGGCTGTGACCACTGCCCGGGTGCTTCCCAGGGCGGGCGCCTGTGATGGGTGTGTCTTCTGTTGTGTTGATGTTCCCTTCTTAATTTATAGAATTTTTTAATGTAAAAATTGCACTGAACTCTATAAAGGTAAATGCTGCTTTTTGTAGCTCATATAAAAAGGTTCCATATTTGTAGTATACTGCAATAATATTTTTTACATCCAGCTCTTTAAGTGATCCTTGTTCTGGTGGCTTTGTGTAAATATGTTTGCCCTAGTTGAATTAAGAAACTTTAAGGGTTATAAAATGAAAGCAAAAAAATAAAGTATTTGTTTTCTGCTAGATACAAAAATGACTAAGCATGCATACTTTTATCAAGCTCCTGTATTTTTCGGAGTCCAACCCTCAGTACTGGGCAGTAAGTGTTGCCACCGCCACAGGCCAGCTTCGGGTCAGGGATGTGGCCGCGCCATCTCCTTTCCTGGTGGGGCAGCGAACGCTGCTGCTTCCCCCAACAAAGAGGAGACCCACAAAGAGGGGACCCCGCAGCCCCTCTGAAAGCCATGAGACTCAGGAACTGACGGCCTCGGGTTTTTAGGCAGGCCCATGGCCTTCCCAGTACTTAGCCCTCTGGCAGTTTGTCCCATGTGCCTTTTGGGTCGGTCTGGACCTGGAGTAGCAGGAGCCCGGAGGAGCGGAGGTGGTGGCTGCTGCTCCTCTTCGGCTTCACACTGCGAGCCTTTTGCCCACCAGGTTTCAGTGGTGCAGGCTGCTTTTCCTTCTCTCCAGGACACTGACCAGGAACACCCTCTGCCCTCCCCTTGTCTAGTCTCCTGCCTGAGGCTTTGCGCGTGTCCTGGGGACCCCTCCTGGGCAGCCCCTCTCCCCACCCAGTGGGGTCACTCACCTTGGACAGCCAGCACTGCACGAGCAGTCACCGTCTCCACGGAAGGGACTCGTTCTCCCTGCCTCCAGCTGGTGTGGACATTTGAGTAACAGGACTACCTTGTGCTGCTTCCATTAGCTTACTGATAGCCGTGTGCACTCTGGCCACCTCGCTGCCTTCCTGGGAGCAGTTTTATTAAACTTCCAGAATAGTGATTTTAAAAAGTAAAAAATCACCTGTCCTTCCTTACAAGCATAACAGGCAGTATTTAACTTTACCACATGTGAGGGAGCTGCTGTGGAATGAGGGAATGAACGGAGCTCTGTAATAAACCATGGCTTGTGGAAACCCCGAAGCTGAGTGTGTGGTGATTGCCGCCACATCAGCTCCAGTCAGGAGGGCTGGAGCTGTGGGTGACAAGTGACTGAGCCGCTCTGCCACAGAGCTGCATCCCAGCCCTTCTCACGCAGGGCCTCACCGAGTTGACCATGAGACTCGAACTTGGTGATCAGCCTGCCTCAGCCTCCCTCGGTGCTGGGATGACAGGCCCCACTGCGCCTAACTTACAAGTTACACCTTGTTTGAAGTAACAGGCTTCTTCTTGGGAACTAATTGGAGATGTCTGAATTCTGCTTCAGAAATCTCACCCTGCCAAGGAGAGAGGGGCCCAGCCTCGGACGCAGGGATGCTGCGCGGGTGGTCCTGAGGCGATGACCTGGAGAGTGTACCTCCTCTGCTCCACGTCCTCCGTGCTCGGGCTGTAACCCAGTAGAATGCACTGCGTGGCTCCTCACTTCCCGCTGCATTTAGGACTTAAAAAGCAGTGTGTGCATGCATGTCTTGGCCTGCCACGCTTGAGTTTCCGTGCTGGACCCAGGAGTGCCATGGGTGCTGGCCCCCTTCACCTGCTGTACAGGCACCGGGAGAGCTCCCCGAGTGTCCATGTCGGGAGACTGCAACAGGCAGCTCAGCTCGAGAAGCTGCCCGAGTCTGGAGTGACTCCTCCCAGGCTTTCAAGTCAGCTGCCGAGGTCTGTTTCTCTCTGCTTCTTGCTCTAGCCCTGTTCCCCACCAGAGAGAAGGGTCCATCTTAAACTGGGGCTGGCTGCTCAGGTCTCGCCTATCAGGGAATGGAGCCTGGGTGACAGCGGGAGGGACCAGCTGTGTCCCACAGAACGTGCTGTGCGCATTGCTTGGAACCCAGAGCTCTGGTCCATGCCACCCCCCGAAGGACTGTCAGGCCCTGCTGAGCAGCTCTACCCTCCCTGTCACCCGGATTCTCAGGCCCTCTCGGTGCTTACTGGCTTTTCAGAACCCGAGTGCAGGTCCCGTCGTGCTTGCCACTAACACTAACCCTTAGGCACTGTACGCAGAGTTGAGTCCATGGTAAGCACTTCGGCTGTGTGTTCCAGGATGACAAGCAAAGCAGAGTCCTGTAAACTGAGGGGGGCTTGAGGGGAACCAGTTTCTGCTGTCACAGCGCCTTGCTCTGAGAACTCCTGACCATGGGAAGTCCTAACGGGACGCTGATCTTCGGCAGAGTCCAAGTGCCAGCACCTCCCTTGCTCAAACAAGGTGGGCGCAGCTCTGCCCCAGAGGAGCTTGTGCCCCGCTGGACCCCAGCATCCTGCCCCACAGACCCAGTGCTATCCCTCCAGTGTGGAGTCACCTGCCTCCTCCCTCTCCCCCGCTCGTCCGGCTGCTGCTTCTCTCCTCTGTGCACTTTTTGCTGTGACAGATACCTAGGCCAGGTTGCATCACCATCCCACTGAGTCCTCCCTCTGCCAGTCCCTCTCACCACAGGCAGCCAGTGTAACCTTCCAGACTAGAAGGCAACTGACCACCGACTCACTTGGACTACGAATCCTCATGACCAGGCGTGGGGACACACGCCTGTGGTCCCAGCACTAGAAGCTGAGGCCAGCTGAGCTGCAAGGGCAGCCTGAACTATACAGCAAGACCCTGTCTCAAAACACAAAGCAAAACAGATCTTTGATTCTGTACCTCCTGTGCATTAAAGTTCAGATTCCTCAGTGTGGCCTTCAAGGGCCTTGAGGGACCTGAGCCCATTACGTGCCCTTCCTTAAACGACCTCTGTGTGCTCTTGCTGCCCCTTTATGTTATTCCTGAGCTAAACCTCTCCCCTCTGTCCAGAGTCTGTGTGGGAATCCCGGTTTGGCCACCCACTGGCTGTGTAAACTTGGGCAGTTTAGGGGAAAGTCCTGCACCAATCCTCATGTTTATAAAATGGGCCCAGAAGACGAGATGTAGCTCAGCGGTGCTGTTCCTACCTGGCAAGCACAAGGTCCTCAGTTCAATCCCTGGTACTAGAAAAAAACAAAACAAAATGGGCCCAGTAGTAGCCGGTTCCCCAGGCTGTTCTGAGGAGCCTCCCTCTAACTCCAAGGAGGCAGGCCTGCCGCCGCTCTGCTGCTCCTCCACACTGAGCCAGGGCCCTGCACACCAGGGACCTGGCTACGCGGACACACACACCGAACACAACGCAGTGCTATCCCAGCCCCAATCCCAGCCCCGATCCCAGCCCGGTGAGGCCGAGGTGGGTGGCAGGCAGGTTCCGTGTGCATTCTGGGAACTCAGCCTCGGGAAAGCAGCAGAGACCAAGGCCGACTGTCTCCAAGGAGCTCTGAACCTCGAGCTGTGTGCTGTGTGCTATGTGCTGAGGGCCTCCAGAAGCAGGAGGACTGAGGAGGAGAAGGACACCAAGCTCGGGAGGGTGTTGCAGCCCTCTGCCCCGGCGAGCCTCCGAGGGAAGCCATGCAGGGCCAGGGACTGCTCAGGGCTCTCCGTCACTCCTCATCCACAGAAAGGGACGTGAAGCCTCCGAGGGGAGGGGCCACACTCCCGTGATCCCCGCCTGGCAGGGTTGTGTGCTGGACCCCAACATGGGCAGCCCAGTGATTAGTGAGACCCTGTCTCACACATAAAAACATTTAAAAGACTGGGATGTAGCTCAGTGCAAAGGCCCGGCACTAACAAAACATGCAACTTTGACTTTCTGCTCTGAACTCGTCTCTTTCTGTTTTGTTACCTTGTTTGCTTCTTCCTTCCCCAGTGTGGACTTAGTCTTTCAGCGATGCCTGTTACCTGTTGGCTCCTACTAGGCCCTGGGGCTGAAGAAAGGAGCCTTGCTTTCAAGAGTCCAGTTTACACAGACTAACAGTGACAGTGCCCTAATGGCGGTGTGCCCGTGTCTGTTAGGAGCTGGGGAGGCCTCCCCTGGACAGTGACCCCACCCAGGGCCGGGTCCCGATGGTGGGAAGGAGCAGAGCCCGGGGAGGGCAGGCCTCCCTTCAGCACGCACATAACCAGGAGGCCTGGAGTGACTGCCCCAAGCCTGGCCATGGTGAGAGGCTCAGGATGGAGGAAGAGTAAGGGGCCACGGCCCTGGAGGAGGGACTGGATAAGCACAGCCTCAGGGGCTTATCTGGGGCAGCAGTCAGTGGGGTGTGGCAATGCAGCCTTCTGAGGGACAGCTGTGGAACCGCAGGCCAGAGGGGAGTGTGCAGGCCAGTTATTCACTTGGCTCTCACCCAAACCCGCAGCGATGGTGGTCAGATGGTGCAGGGGTGAAGGGCAGAAACTGCAGGACTGGTGATAAACTGCCCTGTGGTGGCCTCGCCCCCCTGCAGTCCTGAGACTGCATAGCCAGGGCTTGGCCCTTCCCTCTGCTGCCCGCTCAGCAATTTGCTTTGGCTTCAGGGTGATAAGGAGAGACTTCCGGTGTGGTGGTGGGAACTTAAGTGTGGGAGAGGAGTGGGCCCTTCCCCCTTAGGAGGCTGTAGGAGGAGGACAATGGCCCGAGCACTGTGCCTCCTGCATGCGCTCTGGCTCCTGGGGCCTGTTCCTGCCCCTGCAGCCTGGGCCTCGAACCTGGATGCTGTGCAGCCCACCATCTACACAGGCCCCAACGGCAGCCACTTTGGGTTCTCGGTGGACTTTCACAGAGACAGCCATGGGGGGTGAGCTGGGGAGTGTGGGTGCTGAAGGAGGACCCCTCTTCACCGTCGGCCTCCAGCTGCACCCCGTACGCGGCAGCTGAGCTCGGTCAGGAGTGCTGGGGAGGGACGGGCTGAGGTTGGGGCGTCAGGGAGGGGTGCTGCAGGATATGGGCCCTGAAAGTGCAGCAAGGACAGAGGACTGAGGGCCAATGGGTTTCCCCAAGGGTCAGTCGTATGTGGTGCCCTTCTCTCCCCCAGAGAGAGGTGCATGTCCTGTCTAGCCACCCCACCAGCATCCCTTCTGCACTGCCTGGCCCCCAGCCAAGGCATAGGTTTCCGCATGCTGTGATAGATCACTGGCGGCTGGCACTGATCTGGCTTTGGAGTCAGATTGCCATGCTTAGAGTCCTGGCGTCACCTTGTGACTTATTGTGGGCCCTGGGAGCCTGGTTCTGGGCAGTGGTAATGGCAAATGGCCTTCAAGGACAGCCCCTTGCGGGGTCTCCTCTGTCGAGAGCTGCCCAAGCTCAGAGCCCAGCCCCTTCCCCGGAGTCCAGCTGCTGCAGTGACCCAGAAGTTCGGGTGCCCCGGGCCTCCCTCCACTCAGCCTGCTTCCCTCCCCTGCGCCCTGTGCACCTGCTGCTCTCTCCTCTCCACAAGCCCGGCGGAGCAGCTGTGCTAAATGCCCCCTCGCCCGGGATCCCGGCCTGTTCTTGCTGCATGCAGAGCAGATGTGCTGGGGTCCACGTTCCGTCAGCATCCGAGCCCCACCCTCCCCCTAAACCAGCTCTCCAGCAGGGGCGCGGGAAAAGCCCCGCGGAGGAAGCCGTCGGCGCGGGGTCTGGGAGGCGAGGCGCCGCCCAGAGCTCAGGACGCTTTCGCAGCGGGGACACCGAGGCCTGCGCTCAGATCACACCGCGCGTCGGGCGTGGGCGAGGACAGGCCCAGGCTGCGGGGTCTCCGCGCTCACTCGCGCCCCGTCCCCTGTCACCCAGGGTGGCCGTCGTAGTTGGCGCCCCCAGGGCCAGGGGCCCGGATCAGGAGGAGACGGGCGCCGTATTCCTGTGCCGCTGGAGAGCGGCAGGCGGCTCCTGCTCCTCGCTGCTCTTCGATCTCCGTGAGTCCCGGCGCGGGGACGGGGACGGGACGGGGGTGCGGGCCAGGGATCAGACCGACAGGCTCAGCGACACCGCTTCCCGCTGCCCTCAGGGGACGAGACCCGGAACGCGAGCTCCCAGACCTTCCAGGTCTTCAAGGCGCGGCAAGGCCTCGGGGCGTCGGTCGCCAGCTGGGACCACGTCATCGTGGTGGGCGCGGGGCCGCGGGGCGCGGGGACCCGGGGTGCGGGGCGCGGGGCGCGGGGGCGAGCCGCCGCCCTGCCCCTCTCCAATCCCTCCCCAGGCCTGCGCGCCCTGGCAGCACTGGAACGCCCTGGAAAAGACTCAGGAGGCGGAGAAGACGCCCGTCGGCGGTTGCTTCCTGGCCCAGCTCCAGACCGGCGGCCGCGCGGAGTACTCGCCGTGCCGCGCCAACACCATGAGCCGGGTCTACAAGGACTGGCTGTTCAGTAGGCCCCGCCCCGTCTGGGCCTCCCCCGGCGGCCCCAACCCCCGCTTTCCAATAAGCCGGCAGCCTGCCCCCGGCCCAGCCCGCTCCGCCTGCCCGAGGCTCAGGGCTCCGCCCACCGGCTCAACGCCACGCCTCCTTATTGCCCTAGCTATCCCCCCCCGCCGAGACCACTGGTTAGCCTAGCCTATGGCCCCGCCCACTTCCCGCCTCCTCTCGGTACCGTGACTCCTCCCATCCCTCAAAGCCACGCCCCCGCACCCCTCGTCCTGTTCCCGGGCGCCACGCGGTTTCCGACCCTTCTCCTTGCCCCTAGGTGGAGATAGGCGATACTGCGAAGCGGGCTTCAGCTCCGCGATCACCCAGGCAAGTGGGGAGCCAGAAGGCTTGGGGCAGGCCCCGCCCGAACGGCCCTCTCACCCCGGCCTCCCTTCCAGGCTGGCGAGCTGGTGCTGGGGGCCCCTGGCGGCTACTTTTTCCTGGGTAGGTGCCACTCCCTCCCTGCCTCTCCCTCCCTGCGGCTGGCGCCGGGCCCACTCCGCCACTGTCCCGCCCAGGTCTCCTGGCCCGGGCGCCGATTGCCAGCATCCTCTCGAGCTTCCAGCCCGCCACCCTCCTGTGGCACGTGCCCAACCAGACCTTCACCTTCGACTCCAGCGGCGCCGAGTTCTACGACGGCTACCGGGGTAACGCGCCTTCCTGGGCCACTGCCCGCCCCGCAGCCTGTGGCCCGCGCCCCACCAGTGCGGAGCTCTGCTTCCCCACCCGAGACCAGCGCTTGGCGGGGCGGCCTCTGGGTCCACCTTCCGTACCCAGGACTCCCTCTCCACTTGGGCCTTTGCTCCCTCTGCTGTGTCCCCAGGGTACTCGGTGGCCGTCGGCGAGTTCAACGGAGACCTGAGAACTCCAGGCAAGAGACCCCTTGGTCCCGCGGGGCCTGGAGACGGGAGGGCCTCTGCCAGGAGACCCCTGGGGTGGGTGGGTGGCCCAGGGTCTGTCCTGACCCACGCTCTCCCCAGAGTATGTCGTCGGTGCCCCTACTTGGAGCTGGACCCTGGGAGCGGTGAGTGCCCCTGCACCCTGCATCCTAACCCCAAGCCCCACCCTGCTGCCCTCTCACCGGAGCTGCACCCTCCACGCAGGTGGAAATCCTGGACTCTCACCACCTGACGCTGCACCGGCTGCACGGGGAGCAGGTGCCCTGGCCTCTGGCCGTGGAGGACTCCCAGGAGGGAGGCCCAAGGCCAGCACTGCCGGCTAAGCGCCCCTTTTCTGCAGATGGCTTCATACTTCGGGCACTCCGTGGCTGTCACTGATGTCAACGGGGACAGGTGAGGAGGGTGTCAACCCTGCCCAGGCTGGTCCCCTCTCTTCTGGCCCACACTGACACAGCCCTCCCTGTTGTCCCCTGCAGCAGGCACGACCTGCTGGTGGGCGCCCCGTTGTTCATGGACAGCCGGGCCGATCTCAAGCTGGCTGAGGTGGGGCGTGTGTACCTGTTCCTGCAGTCCCCGGCCCCCCGTGTGCTGGGCACCCCCAGCCTCCTGCTGACCGGCACTTGGCTCTATGGGCGGTTCGGCTCCGCCATCGCACCCCTGGGCGACCTCAACCGGGATGGCTACAACGGTGAGGGCAGGAGGGCTAACGGCCACGGTGGAGAGACAGGCACCCTGGGGCAGCAGGAGCCGGGAGGCTGCGGTGGGGTGTATGCCAGAGCCCTGACTGCTGTGGAGGGCAGCCAAGGAGGCCATCGGCGTAGCTGCCTCCAGAGGCCCAGGCAAAGTGAGCTGTTGGGTGCAGATCTCAGCGGTGGGGTAGAGAGGAGGAGCTCTGAGGACATTTCAGACTTGAGACCAAGGGAGGTCCCAGCCACCCCGCAGGCCATCGAAGGGAGCCCGGGACGGGCTACGCCCACTTTCCCAGAGGGGGCTGAGAGACGGGAGCCCCCGGAGCCCCTGGGACGAGAAGATGCCAGGGTGGAGCCCGGGACACAGAGGAGCTAGACCTGGACGGACGCAGCAGTGGACAGCAGGAGCTCTGGGGATCTCAATGCCAAGGGGGAGGAGCTCTGAGCGGCAGGAAGTGGCCGGGGAAGAACCGGAAGTGCCGCAGTGGACAGCTTTCAGCCAGCAGGGGGCAGTAAGGATGGAAGCCCACCTGGTTTGGAAGAGGGTGGCGTGTTGAATGTGGCGGATCCATGCGACTGTGTGTCTGGCGTGGGGAGCTGGTGAGAAGGCAGGGGGGGTTCAAAGGACAGCAGCTGCTGCATCTCTTCGAGGAACCAGGCCCAACCCCCAGCAGAGGAGAAAGTGACCCGTGGGTGGGCGTGGAGCTTGGCTTCCCATTCCCAGCGAGGCCTGGAGGTCAGGAGTGCATGGGGTCCAGGTCAGGGAGAGAAGAGGCCAGGAGGCCAAAGATCAGGAGAAAGGGGCGGCCGGGGGCTGGGGGCCACGCTGAGATCACAGCCCTGGGTTCCAGGGAGTCCTGTGTAACATGATCAGAAAATCAAGCCAGCCCTGGTGGCGCACATCTGTGATCCCAGCACCCTGGAGGCTGAGGCAGGAGGATCGCTTAGAGTTGGAGGCCAGCCTGGGCTTCATAGTGAGTTCAAGGTCAGCTTGAAACACAAAGCAAGACCTTGTCTCAAAAAAAGAAAGAAAAATTAAATATATGAAAAAGAAAAAAGCTGCACTGAAAACAAACCATAAACAAATCAGAAGACGAAAGAAAGACAAGGCCAGGGATTTAGCTCAGTGGCTCTGCCTCCTGCCTCAAAAGCGCAAGGGCCCCAGTTCGATCCCCGGTACCAAAAAACCAAACAAATAAGAGGAAAGACAGTTGCAACATAGAAATCAAAAATCTGCCTAAGCTGGGTAGGGTGCTGCATGCCTGTAGTACTGTGACGGCTAAGGATTGCATGTTAAGGCAACTTGGTGAGATCCAGTCCCAAAATTAGAAACAAAACAAAACAAAAGCAAGGACTGGGGCTGCAGAGCAATGGTGGGGAAGGTGCCTAGTGCGCACAGGGCCTGCATTCAGGGCTCAGCACAGGCGCGGAGAGAGAAGTCTTAATTCCCAGCACAAGCTCAGCACTCTGTTTTGTCAGTTGGTTTGGATTCAGACCCAGGGGTGCTCTACCACTGAGCTAAGTCCCCAGCTCTTTTTTTCTTTTTTTGGTACCGGGGATCCAACTCGGGACCTTGCGCTTGCAAGGCAGGCAGCAGCACCACTGAGCTAAATCCCCTGCTCTCTTTATTTTTTTATTTTGTTGTTTTTGGTTTTTAGTTTTGTTAGGTTGGTTTTTTTGGTTTTAGTTTTGGTTTTTTGAGACAAGGTCTCCCTATTTAGCCCAGGCTGGCCTGGAACTCACGGCGGTTTTCCTGCCTCCGCCTCTCAAGTGCTGGGATGACAGGCATGCACCACACCTGGCTTGACTTAAAAAAAGAAATATTGCTGGTGGTGAGCTGGGTGGGCATGGTGTCAGGGGACCAGAGGGTCCTCTGGGAAGAGGGTGCAGAGTTTACTGGGTCTCAGTCAACCTCTGGGACTCAGTTTTTGCACTTATCAGAGAGGAATACTGCCGGCCTTTCAGGGTTGAGTTAAACCTTCTCAGTGCATTGCTGCAGTTGACAGTGCGGCTGTCACTTCACTCTTTTCCTAACCACCTTCCCTGATGGGTGTCTTGCCGGACTGAACTCCCAGAGGCAGGCGCCAGCCCGGCCCAGACTCTGTGGTCCCTGGGCTCTGCCCGCAGAAGCAGCTGGGGAGTTTTCCCAGTGCCCGGAGAGTCCAGGTGGCAAACAGCGGCCTCTGTCACTCCCTGCAGATGTGGCGGTGGCCGCCCCCTACGGGGGTCCCAGCGGCCAGGGCCAGGTGCTGGTGTTCCTGGGCCACAGCAAGGGGCTGAGCGCACAGCCCTCCCAGGTCCTGGACAGCCCCTTCCCCACAGGCTCTGGCTTTGGCTTCTCGCTGCGAGGGGCCACAGACGTCGATGACAACGGATACCCAGGTGACCCTCATGGACTGTAGCTGGCTCCAGCACGGCCCCCAGGGGGTCGTGCCTGGGTGGGCTCCCAGTGATGCGAGGGTGGGATGCCGGAGCTCTGGGGTGAGACTCGTCCCCACCGCTAACTCCCCCATTGCAGACCTGGTGGTGGGAGCCTATGGGGCCGGCAAGGTGGCAGTGTACAGGTGAGCACCAGTCTGGGCTGGGGGAGGCTGGGCCTGGAGGGCCCGGTGGCAGCTGCTGACCCCCTCAGAGCCCGGCCGGTGGTGACAGCCACCGTCCAGTTGCTGGTGAAGGACACGCTGAACCCCACGGAGAAGAGGTGTATCCTGCCCCAGACCCGGACCCCAGTGAGCTGGTGAGCAGCAGTGGGCGCCGGCCGGGCAAGGGGGCAGCATCCAGAGGCCCCAGCCCTGAGCCCAGCGCTTTTTCAGCTTCAGCATCCAGATGTGTGTGGGAGCTGCCGGGCACAGCATTCCACAGAAGCTGCGTGAGTGGCCGGGAAGGGGCTGAGGGGGTGGCCGGGACTCTGCGCTAAGCCTCTGCACTCGCAGGGCTGAGCGCCGAGCTGCAGCTGGACCGGCAGAAGCCCCGCCAGGGCCGCCGGGTGCTGCTCCTGGAGTCGCAGCAGGCGGGCACCACACTGAGCCTGGACCTGGGCGGGAGGCACAGCCCCGTCTGCCACACGACCACCGCCTTCCTTCGAGTAGGTCCGGGGCGGGGCAGTGGCCAGGTGGCAAGGGTCCTGGCAGGTGTGCCGGGCACAGGGTGTGGGACCAAGGCGGCGGACTCTCCCCTCCTAGGACAAGGCCGACTTCCGGGACAAGCTGAGCCCCATCCTGCTCAGCCTCAACGTGTCACTGCCACCAACGGAGGCTGGCAGGGGCCCTGACCTGGTGCTGGCCGGGGACACGCACATCCAGGAGCAGGTGGGCAGGCAGTGAGGGTTAGGCTGTGACACGCACCAACACCCAGTGTCACCTCTAAGCCCTAAGGAACCCCATTGTCGATGTCCCTGAAGCTAATGCAAACTCATAATCCCTGATATCAGCCGGGTGCAGTGGTGTGCCCTGTCATCTCAGCACTCGGGAGGCTGAGGCAGGAGGATCGCCACAAGTTTGAAGTCAGCCTGGGCTATATAGCGAGACCCCGTCTCAGAAACAAACCCTCACAGGGTCCCAGCCTTCATTTCAAGCCCAGAGCCCTGATGGCCTCTAGGCTGGTGCTGGGGAACCTTTTAGGGCTGCCAATGATAACATCCGCTGCAGCAGGAGGACACGGGTCAACACCCCTGCCCTGGATCCTGCCCCTCAGCTTCCGGGCCTCCTCTTTCCTGCACGCTGACTGGCTCCTCGGCCCCTGGGGCCCAAACCTCACGTGCCGCTGTGTTCCCTCCAGACCCGCATCATCCTGGACTGTGGGGAGGACGACGTGTGTGTGCCCCAGCTGCAGCTCAACGCCACTGTGTAAGGCCGCCCTCCGTGCCCAGCAGGCCCGCCCACAGGCTGCCTGGTGCCTGCTCCTGCCGACCCTGCTTCCCTCCCCCAGGGCGGGTGCTCCGCTGCTCATTGGGGCCGAGAACCTGCTGGAGCTCCACGCCACCGTGGCCAACGAAGGCGAGGGGGCCTATGAGGCAGAGCTGGCCTTGCAGCTGCCCCCGGGCGCCCACTACATGCGGGCACTGAGCGACATGCCGGTGAGGGGCCGGTGGCTGGGGGCCCTGCGCCCCGCCTCTTGGGAGTGGCAGTGAACACTGGGAAAACTGGGGACCGATGGCTAACAACAGCGTCCTGAGCGCTGCTGGACTCCTGTAGTCACTGCCGCTCACTGGCAGGTGCTTTCGTAGCTGTAGAATTACTTCCTGTTTTTCTGTTGTAGTTTATAACAGTGGGTCACAGCCTACGCACTATTTTGTGTTTTTATTTCCAAAATGAAAATTTATTTATGCCGGGCATGGAAGCACGGGACTGTAGTGCCCGGTACCCGGGAGGCTGAGGCAGGAGCATTTGAGCCCAGGAGTTCAAGGCCAGCCCTGAGGTCCTGTGCCAGGAAGCCCCCTTTCTCCCCTGTACATGGTCCTCTTGGACATGCCGGGCGCCCTGTGACCTGCCCTATCCTTGCTGCTCCCCGAAGGGCTTCGAGAGGCTCGTGTGCAGCCAGAAGGAGGAGAACGGGAGCAGGCTGGTGCTCTGCGAGCTGGGCAACCCCATGGGAAAGGACGTCCGGGTGAGTGGGCCGCCCGCGAGGGAGGCTCCCACCTGGGAGGGCTGGAGATGGAGCCAGGCCTACAGCGTGCCATCCCGCACTGGGGGAGGCTGAGGCAGAAGGGTCACGATTTGAGCCCGACCTGGGCCATTTAGTGACTTCGTGAGACCCTGTTTTAAATTTTAAAAGGAGGCTGCGGTGCAGTTCAGGGCAGAGGCCCTGGGTTCAGTTCCCAGTACTGTGGGGAGAGAGGAGGGGCGGGAGGGTCACCGTCAAAGTCACCAGCGCACCGGGGGGCCTGGCGCCACGTGAGTGGGCAGTGAGCCTGGCCCTCCTCCAGGTAGGGGTCACCGTGTGGGTGAGCGTGGGGGACCTGGAGCGGGCCGGCCAGCATGCGACCTTCCGGCTGCAGGTCAGGAGGTACTGCCCGAGACGCCCCCTCCGTCCGCCAGCCGGCCGCAGAGCCTGCGAGGGGCCCGCTCTCGGGCCTCCCCGCCCCCTCTCCCCAGAGCCCGGCCTGGTCCCTGTGCCCTGGTCCCTGCGCCTGCGTCTGATGCTGGCTCCCCAGAGCTCTGAGCTGTCACCTGGCCGAGCCCGGCCTCCCTCCCTCCCTCCTCCTCTCCAGCCGTAACAGCCGGAACCCCAACAGCCAGATGCTGCTGCTGCAGGTGCCGGTGCGGGCCGAGGCCAGGGTGGAGCTTCTAGGGTGAGAGAGGCCGCAGGCGGAAGGGGCAGCGGGTGCCCCTGGGCCCGGAGGGCAGGGTGCCGCTCCGCTCCTTGGAAGGCTGCACGCTCGGCACCCACAGGAAGCGGAGGGGGAGGGTCCCGGGCCATCAGGGTCCAACCCAGCGGCCGGCGGCCCCTCCAGGAACTCCTTCCCGGCTTCCCTGGTGGTGTCAGCAGAAGAGGGTGCCAAGGAGCGGGGCAGCTTGGCCAGCTCGGCCCCCAGGGTGGAGCACACCTATGAGGTAGGGAGACTCCGCATCCAGGGCGCGAGGGCTCCGGGCTGCGGGGCCTGCTGCTGACCACCTGCCGCCTGGGTCACCGCCGCCCAGCTCCACAACAGAGGCCCAGGCTCCGTGCGCGGCCTGCGCCTCCACGTGCACCTGCCCGGGCAGTCCCAGCCCACCGACCCGCTGTACATCCTGGACGTGCAGCCCCAGGGCGGCCTGCAGTGCTCCCCACAGCCCTCGCCCAACCCCCTGGAGGTGAGCGCAGTGCATGCGGGACCGGCCCGGGCGGGCCGGGCAGAGCCCTGGGGACTGACGCCGCTCCTGCCTGCCCGCAGCTGGACTGGAGGCCGCACACCGCCAGGGCGGCCCCCACGCGCCAGGCGCATCACCCGCGGGAGCGCAGGCAGGCTGGGCCGGGGCAGCCGATGCTGGTGGTGAGAGGGGCTAGGGCGGGGAAGCGGAAGCGCAGGCAAGGTGCTTCCCGGCCCTCTGGCTAGTCCCCGGGCCGAGCGGGCGATGGGCAGGGAGGGCTGGGGACTGACGGGCGCGTCTCCTCAGAGCTGCGACTCGGCGCCCTGCACGGTGGTGCAGTGTGAGCTTCAGGAGATGGCGCCCGGGCAGCGGGCCATGGTCACCGTGCTGGCCTTGCTGTGGCGGCCCGGCCTCGGCCAGGTGGGCGGGGCTTCGGACAGAGGCGGGGCCTAGGTAGTGGGTGTGGTCTGGTTGGGGCGTGGCTTCTGGGTCTGGAAAGCCCCGGCTTTGTGTAGGGCGGGACTTCAGTGATGAAGAGGTGGGGCCTCTGGTCGTGGGCGGGGCTTCTACCGCTGCCGGTGGGGTGTGCACGGCTCTAGGGCGGGGTCTTCTGATGGGCGGGGCTTCGGGAACGTCTGACCCGGGCGCGGGCAGCTTCCGGAAGTGGCCGTCGCGCCCAGCAGGGGCCGCCGGAGCTGACGGAACTGCAGTCGCGCGCGTGGTTTGACGTCTCCTCGCTCCCGTACGCGGTCCCGGCGCTCAGCCTGCCGAGCGGAGAGGCCGTGGTGAGCGCCGGGAGGGGCCTGCCCCGGGGTGGAGGGGCCCGAGGCTGTTGAGGCGGCTGGGTGACTGAGGCTCGCGCTCCCAGGTGCGGACGCAGCTGCTGCGCGCCCCGGAGGAGCGGGCGGTGCCCACCTGGTGGGTGCTGGTGGGTGCGCTGGGCGGCCTGCTGCTGCTCGCGCTGCTGGTGCTGGCCATGTGGAAGGTGAGGCCCTGCGGTCCCTCCGCCCCTGGGTGCCCCGCCCCGCCGGCCCGTGTCGACCGCGCGCCAGTCCCCGCTGTCCAGGCCGCGCACCACCGCCTCGGTGCCCAGCCGGGACCCACGAGGCTCGGGCCATCCGGACCCTGACCCCGGCCCTGTGCACTAGATGGGCTTCTTCAAGCGGACCCGGCCTACCCTGGACGAAGACGAAGAGGAGGAGTGAGGGCCGGGCTGCCGGCTCTCCGAGGACGCTCCCGGGCGCCCTGCCCTGCCCTGCCCTGCCCTCCCCTCCCCTCCCCTCCCCGCTCCTGCTGCCCAATAAAGAGGCGCCGACACCCAGGGTGTGCTGGCTCTCGGGGCGGCCGCGGTGGAAGTTTGAGCAGAGGGCCTCTGCCAGGGCCAAGGTGTGCGTGACAGTCCTGGGTGCAGAGCTGGAGGCGGGGCCGGGAGAAGGCATAACCTGGTGTGATGGCGCGGGCCTGTGATCCCAGGACTCAGGAGGCTGAGGCAGGAGCTTGTGAGTTCGAGGTCAGCCCGAGTTACAGCGTGAGATCCCAGCTCCAAAACAAAGTAGTGTATATCGCACGATTCTGATGGATAAACTTCCAAACCCAGTGAGGGTTGGAAAAGTACACTTTTCCGGCCCTGTCCTGGCCTTCCCCCAAAAAGGCCTTTAGAGCTGTATTGGGGTGAGGACAGGCAGAGCCTGAGGGAGATGTCACCCCTGCCTGGGGACAAGTGACCCTCCAACTCTTCTGCTGTTCCTTCTTCCCCACCAAGAAGGGTCTTTTGTTAGGACGGGGGCGGGGATTGCATGGCAGCTCTGCAGCTGAGGTTACTGGAGTTGGGGATGGACGTGGGGGTCCCCAAGTCCTGAGAGGTTTGTTGATCCATGCGTTCCATAACTTTTTTCCAGTAGTGGGGATTGAACCCTGAGCCTTCCCACAAAGCTGCACTCACAAGTCCCTCTTTATTTTTGAGACTGGGTCTCCCTAAGTCACTAGGTTGCCCAGGCAAACCTGTGATCCTCCTGCCTCAGCCTCCCAGAGTGCACCACCACTCCTGGCTCCCTACACCTGGATCTGTTCCAGTGCCCAGAGGCAGCCATGAACAATGCCAAGTCCTACCCTCAGGAAACTTGCATTCAAGGGCAGAAAGAAGAATAAACTAAGAAATAAAACCCTGGCTCTGTGTCATGAGTGACAATACAGGGAGGGAGACAACAGGTGACCATAAAGGCTGGTGTCCGAAAGAGCAGCCAGTAACGGGGGCGGGGGGGGGAACTGCTGGCCTGGGTGGACTCGGTGGGGCAGGGACACCCAGAAGGACAGTGTGGCCCACAAGATGCCGGTCTCAACTTTAGCCAAAGGGGTACATGGAACATTCTGGAGGCGCCTCTGACATCTACGCAGAGCCAGTCCAGAGAGGGTCTCCAGCTGGGTGGCAGAATCCCAGCTGACTCCCACCCTGCCGGTCCTCGGCTTCACAGCCCTGGCCATGTCTCCGGTTCCAGGAAACTGGTCTTTACACACCGGACAGAGGCATCTGGGTCAGGGGCTCAGTTTGGACCCACACCCTCTGGGAATGCTGGGGAGCTCTGTGGGGCTGGGATGCTGTAGCTCCTCTTGCCTGCAGATGGCTGCTGGCTGGAGGGGACAGCGCCAACGCCATGGGTGGCTGAGCCGATTGCAGGCAGCCTGACAGATTGGAAAGTTGGGCTGAAACCAACAAGATGAGATGCACCAGAGACTAGTGTTAAATCCCGTGCGCGGGTTCTCAAAAGTTGTTACATAAGAATAGTACTGGGAAATCTGGCTCCCTGGAAATTTCTGTTAAATGGAAAGAAGCCAGGTGTGGTGGCTCATATGTATAAGCCCTGTACTCCAGAGGATGAGGCAGGAGGATCACCACAAGTTCCATGCCAGCCTGGGCTACATAGTGAATTCGAGGCCAGTCTGGGCCAGTGAGACCCTGTCTCAAATATTTAAAAATAAAAGAGGAAAAAAGGCAGAATATGTCATGTACAGGTGCAAATTCCCTATAATGTGTGTTATCATTATGTACATCTAAGATGTACCAATAGCCTAGGATTTAGCTCAGTGGTTTCGCTGCCTGTCTCACAAGCACAAGGTCCAGAATTCGCTCCCTGGTACCAAAAAAACCAAAAAAACAACAAAAGATAAAATGTACCAATAAATGTTTTGCTAAAAAAAAGTAAAAAAGGAGGAAGAAAGAGCGTCTGTTGTTTTGCCCCGCGCCCATTAATGAGGTGTCCATGAGCCAGGCGTCTCCAAGCCATGGGCCTAGCCAAGAGGGTACCGGCAGCCTCTGGGGGATGAGGGCCGGGACGTGTCCACTCCCTCCTGGGCACCACACTGCCACAGAGAAGGGGACAGCGAGGGCCAGGAAGGGACTGCGGTGCCATCTGGTGCGGCTGTGTCGGCGCCTGGTCGCGGGGCGCGGTGACCTGGAAGGCAGAGTCGAGGCCCGGCTCCCACTGAGGGCTTCCAGCCCAAGAGGAAGAGAGACCCGATCTGTCCTCCGCGGAGCCAGAGCCCCGGGAAGGAGGGCGGGCCGCTGCCCGTCCTGGCACAGGAGGGCCGGCCACCGCGCTGGCGCGGAGTCCGGGTTCCCGCAGGGATGGCTCTGCCCGCACCCCACGGAGCACCGAGGCCAGAGGCTGGTGACCCGCGCTGCGGGGTGGGGGGCACGGAGTCCCTGCCCGGAGACGCCGCTGTGGCCTCGGAGCGGCAGCAGGGCCCCTCCCCGACTCCGCCGGAGCCCGGGCTCGGGAAGCAAGAACCGGGCGACCGGGGCGGGCGAGGGCTGGGGTGCGCCGTGGGGCGGGGCGGAGCCACCGAGGGCAGGGGCGGGGCGGGGCGAGGGCGCCGGCCGGGCTGCGGCGC